ATATAATTTGAAGACTAAATTCTTACAGGTACAAGAAATGCTAATGTTTTCCCACTACCAGTTTTTGCTGCACCTAATATATCATTACCCTTCAGAGCCAACCCAATACTTTGTCTTTGAATATCCGTTAATTCAACATAATCATTTTCTTTTAATCCCTTCAATGTCTTTTTTGATAATGGTAAATGAATAAACTTTGTTATTTTAGTTTCATCAATCTAAAAATGAAAGATAATATTTGAAATTAAATGAAATAGGTTATACATTGTGATTAAAATTTATTTTATTACTTACATCTTTATATTTAGATTGTAGATCCTCGATAATTTTTTTCTCAGGAATTTGTTTTTTTTTCTTATATATTTTTACTTTTTCCTTTGCCTTACTCATTATAAACTAATAACTAATTTCTTACGTATAATAAACAACCATGCCTTTCCATATACTTTGAAGTTAGGTTACGTTATACACACACAAACGAATCGAGTTGAAACGAATCAAATCGAATCGAATCGAATCGAGTTGAAACGAGTCGAATTGAATTGAGCCGGAAGAGATTAACCATTCAGCTTACACCAATAATTTGGAAAAGAAAATCTGTTTTCAATGAAAATAAATTCTAAAACTCAACATTTTTATCAACATAAAATATCGTATATAGTTAAAAAAGTACATATTAAATTAGACGTAGAAGTTTTTTTAAATTATATGCAAAAAGGGATTTTTGTTATACAATATTTAAGTATTCGATAATATAGGTTATGTTATCGTGTTAAGAATCAGCGTTATTTATCATACTTCCATCATTTATCTTTGCAACATTATACAATGCATATAATTATGCTTATTAGTATTAATACTTAATACTTAATTATATTTTATTTATAATTAATATTATTCACAAAAATGTTGAAAACTAACATAGAAACTACTTCGTCTTCCGGAGAAGGTGCAACGCAACAAACAAGCAGTGGGGAAGTGCAGTTACGATCTGTAAATATTAATATAAACATATTTTTATTTAAAAGAATGGAAGAATATTTATTATATTATAATTATAAAAAACAAACAAAAATGATATTCGAAAGATAAATATATTATTCCTTTTCTGTTATTTTTTACGTTATGTAAATGTATAGAGAAGTGCCCGAAGTTCGAGGCAAAAAGCAGTGGATAACGTAACCAACAAATTTCTACGAAATTTCGATCCTGAACGTAGCGAAAGAGAGAAACGTAAATTACATCGTCGTTTATATCAAGGAAGTAAACGGCATACTTTGTACAACGAAGAAGGCATTTGGATTATAACTGGAGACAATTTATGCGATTGTTTAAGTTTAGAATGCGCAGGATGTCATTTTCCATGTCCTAAATGTTCATCTCGAAAATGTGGACACGAATGCAGGTGATTATTTTTCCCCTTTTTCTTTTTTTACCTACATTAAAATATTGTTATAAATAATGTTCTATGTTTATAAGGTGTCAAATAAATGTCAATTACTTGTGCCTAAATAAAGAAAAGTGCATTTCTTTTTTTTAGGATCAATCGTAAGTGGACTTATGATTCTGTCGAAAACGAGGGTAGTGACATCATAACGAAAAATCCAATACTCAAAGAAACCTAAATACAAATGAGGTTTGTTTTTTAATCTATTCTCTTTCTTTTTTCTTTTAATCAATAAACATTCGTCAACATTTACCCACAATAATATAAGTAAGCAAAATTTGAATATACATTTGTAATAAAAAGAAGTAAGAAAACTATATATAAAAAGGTTTTTATTATAATAATTATTATCATCGAACATTATGCATTTTGTTGCACCCACGAGAAAAGAATTATTATATGCAATAAAGCGATAATGTCCTACGAAAATATTATTGATTTTTCGCATTTCTTCTTAGACTAAGTGTGCACGTAATGCGCACGTACTTAGCTAATGCACGTGTCTGTTACTATTAAATACATGGATATTAGAACATGTTCTGAATAAAATACTAAAAACAAAAAGAAAAAAAAGGCTGAGAATTTTAATTTCCTTTTCCATTTATCGAATCTGTTAAATCTTAATTTTCTATAAAATACGATCAAGATCAATTTCAAATCTAACGCAAAATAACCTTTAATCGAGAATCACACGAGTTCCTCATTGTAAGGAGCCGCACCAACTGAGGTGCGTGCGCATTTACTTAATTCGCGAATAGTGAGCAGATGGGAGAAAGAGAGAGAGAGAGAAAGAGAGAGAGAGAGAGAGAGAATCGTGCGGTGAGTAAACCGACGGGATTGAAGTAGGGGGTGAATAATTCGGTGGGAAGGAGAATGATGGCAGGGGGGCGGAAGGAAGAAGGAGAGTATAGAATATCCCGATGTCGTTGACGCGAAAAAATCGAATGCAAGTATTTTAATCGATCAGTGTTAAATGAACGTGGTGCTGCAACCGGTAGATTTTCGTTCTATAATGTGAGAATAATCAAGTAAGAAAATAATATTTTAGATAAATGTGTATCTCCTTTTCCTCCACCTTTTTCTCCTCTCTAATTTCAAATTTTCTTTCCCTTACTTTTACTTTACCAACAATTAGATACAATAATTTTCTTATCATTTTTTAAGCATTAAAAGTATAGGAGAGGATCGAGTTAGTGCACGATTATTACGATTACGATTACGACTCAACTACAACTACATTTACAACTGCAACACAACTACACGACTACACTACGACTACACTACGACGACTACGACGACCACGACGACGACGACGACAACGACGACTACGACTACGACGGTCGATGAGCTTACGACTAAAACAGCAGCGGCATTTCTCCCAGGATCCACCTATCGCATCAGTGTAGTGTTTTACCTACTCCCTTGAACGTAAACGTGTGCTACAATTGTCGTTAATTTTGAAGAAAAAGAAATAAAAAACAAGAAAAGGAAAGGAAGAAGAAGAAGAAGAAAAAAAAATACAAAAGTGAAAAAGAAAAAGAAGAGTGATTGACGTTGAAAGAATAACGAACCACCTTGACAACTGCACCGAGCTTGTCAACGAGCAACGATATTCCTTCGAGGGCGTCGTCCAACCTAAATAGGTTCATTAAATTCTTCTTTATTCTTATTATTTTTTCCCCTAAATAATATACATAAATATCCATTCGTGCCGGCGTATTTTTCTTACTCTATTTTTATCCATTTCGAAAAGGGATTCTTTAAAGTATGTACATTTATTTCAGCTAAAGGATTATAAAAGAACGATCACATATTCTAAAGATGTCTAACATTACGATAACACAAATAATATGTTTATTATTATTAATTAGTCAATCAATTGATTTCATATAGAATATATTAACGCGATTAAACGATTGTTTTATATGTTTATTAAATTTACGAGAAAGAAAGAAAGAAAGAAAAATTTTAATTATTCTAATACAATATTTTACTTTATAAGATAATATTATAAGATTTAAGATTTGTAGAGTTCATGCGGCATGCCGATTATAAAGGTCGCATTTTCTATATATTAAAAAAAAATACACACACACATGCATATATATACGTATGTATGTATAAGTAAAGATCAGTGACGGCGGGAAGGGGCGACATAACCTTTTCGCGAAGTTTCGAATTGTCGTGGGTAGTGAGGTGCGATGCGGTGCGGTGAGACGGATGTAGGGGTGACGACGACGACGACGACGACGACGACGACGACGATGATGGTGGTGGTGGTGGTGGTGATGGTGGTGGTGGTGGTAGTGGTAGTGGTAGCAGTAGCAGTAGGGGATGCCTCCCTCTCTCTCTCTTTCTTTCTTTCTCTTTTTATCTCACCCCCAAATGAAACTCCTTTATCCATTTGATGTTAGATCGTATGTGTGTGCGGTAGGTCGGCCGGAAAGGGGGTTTCGTGTCATTCCTAAACGTGGAAAGGGGACCCCGAAAGACGGGGGTTTATATCATCGGGACGGCAGATGTCAGGATGCCGGAGCAGAGCAATGACTATCGTGTCGTCGTGTTTGGGGCGGGTGGCGTTGGTAAGAGTTCTCTCGTCCTACGCTTCGTGAAAGGAACCTTTCGTGAGTCCTATATACCAACCATCGAGGATACTTACAGACAGGTAAGTGTTTTAAATTTTATCACATCATTTTATTGTCATTTATTTTGATTAATCTTTCCTTTCTTTCATTCATCCTTCCATCTTTCCTTTATCTTTATTTTTTTTGTTTAATCCTTTGACACACTGCAACGTAATGCAACGTAACGCAACGCAACACACAATGACGGACAAGTTTCTTCGGCGCACAATTCATCGCGCATCGCGTGTGTTTCTTATTCCAATTCTCACTTTATATTTAGTTATTTTCTTTAATTTTCTTGTCCTTTTTTATAAATAGTATATTCAATGATAAAATAATGTTAATCTAATCTTTTAAAATCATTGTTTATTTTTGATTCCTTTATATATCGTACAATTTTATTTATATTTGTTTTACAACACACGATAAAAATTAATGAAGAGTAATAGTATAGTAGAAGCATGTAGTAGAACAGACAGTAGTAATAGTAGTAGTAGCATGTAGTAGGACCGACAGTAGTAGATACTATTATTAGTCAGCCGGCTAGATACTTTTCGAATTGATTTCTTTTTAATTTGATCTCTTTTTTTCTCTCTTTCTCTTTCTCGTCTTTTGTTTCTATTACCTGCGTTTATCAGGAATGGCCTGCAATGACTGAAAAGAAAGATAATAAAAAAAAGAATGCTTCGTCCTTACGTATCGCGAGGACACTGGTGGGATTCGTGCTGTGTGCGCGACGAGAAGCGTGTAAAAATATTTCTTCTAAAAGAAAACTAAAGGAATAAAAAAGAAAAAAAGAATAAAAGAAAAAAAAAGAAAAAAAAGAAAGAAAAGACAAAAAATGTGAGAAAAGAAGGAGGCCCTTACCAAGAGTCTCCTATAAGAAACATCATTTTTAGGTGATAAGCTGCAACAAAAACATATGCACGCTTCAAATTACGGACACAACCGGCTCCCATCAGTTTCCCGCGATGCAACGACTTTCCATAAGTAAGGGTCACGCCTTCATCCTGGTATATTCGGTATGCTCACGGCAAAGTTTCGAAGAACTACGACCAATTTGGGCTGTAATAAGGGAGCTGAAAGGTCAAGAAATCTCACAGATACCGATAATGCTGGTAAGAGTCTATACGACTTTTTTCTTTCACTGTATTTTTCTTTCTTTTTTTACCCACGATAACAATTTATCTTTATTTATTTGTAGTACATAAACTTCTCTAATAATCACTTGTGCTATAGACAAATTTTTTAAAGGGTAAACCCGTCAAATATAATTGTCCCAGTGAACAAATATTCTTGAAATTGATTTTGAATAAATTACTATCTTCTATATATATCTGCTAATCAAAAAACGTGCAGATATATATACATAGTCGTTGACGTTTATATGTCAGACAGTAATCAATCCTATTCTAGCACAAATGATTATAGAAGATTTATTTTCCGAATACTTGCGTACTTATTTACCAATTCCAATAATCATCCTATTATTCCTAATGAATGCTTTCGATTTGCATTTATTACTTCTCTCGAACAGGTTGGTAATAAATGTGACGAGAGTCCTTCGGTACGCGAAATTCCGATGAGCGAGGGTGCAGCGGAAGCGGCTAATTGGGGCTGCGGTTTCTTGGAGACATCCGCTAAAACTAATCACAACGTTAATGCACTATTCCGGGATCTTCTTACTCTTGAGAAGAATCGTTCGGTTTCCTTACAGCCGGTGGAAAGTCACAATGCGATAAGCCTGAAGGAAAAATGCGCGGTCATGTAATAATTTCGTTATATATATATATTCGTTATTATTATAATTATCGATTATCTCGATACATTTTTACTCAATCCCAACGACTCCATGTCAAACAAATTAACACAAACATCATCATCGTCGTCGTCATCATCATTCTTTTTTCTCTCTCATATTTAAATCGTGATAATTTCATCTTTTAAAACGGGACACAGAGAGATAATATTTTCAGTGATAACAAGTCGTCGAATTCCATTTTAGTATTAACTTTTTTCCAATCGGGAGATCGGATTTTACACGAAACCTTTCCCAGTCGACCAATTCAACATCTATCTCTCTTTCACCCTGTTCTCTCTCTCTCTCTCTCTCTCTCTCTATCTCTCTATCTATTTATCTATCAATCTATCTATCTATTTTTCATTCCCATTTTCAATACTCTTTCTCTTTTTTTCACTGTCTATTCAAAGATTATTATCCCTTCATTTCCATATAATTTAGAATTCTCTAAACCAAAATCTAATACGAGCTTAATAATCGTGAGGGACGCAATTATGAATACAAAATTAGTAATACCTTCGTTGATAATGAAAATCGACATTTTATATATTATGATTCTCTCTCTCACAATCACACTATTTCTACATGTGAGTAATGCGAGCATATAAAAGAACACATTTCTGTCTTTATTATTATTATTATTATTATTATTATTATTATTATTATTATTAATAATATTCTTCTTCTTCTTTATCGATTTCTTTCTGCTTCTTTTTTTTATACAAAATAATGAAAAACAAAGAAATAAAAAAGAAAGAAAGAGAGATGATGAGAGACCGAATTAATGATTTGGAAGAAGAAGAAGAAGAAGAGAGGGATGAGAGTGGAACAAATATATATAATGTTTGTATGGAAAGAAAGGTGATGACAAGTAAATAGATAAGAGTTGTTAAAGAGATTCCTTTTTGTTAAATAGTTGTAAGATTTTTGTAACGTCGCGGCTACTTAAGATTTATTATTACGTCACGTTGAAAGTATATTAGAAAGAGAAGAGAGATATTTTGCGGTAATATGCACGTGTACATAAACACATATATACATATACATATACATATACATATACATATACATATACATATACATATACATATACATATACATATACATATACATATACATATACATATACATACACATATACATATACATATACATATACATATACATATACATATACATATACATATACATATACATACATACATACATACATACATACATACATACATACATACATACATACATACATACATACATACATACAT